GTTCCTTAACAGCAACCCAGAACAAACTTGATTGAAGGAGATTTCTGCAATTTTCACAAACCAAACCTGATTTGAAACGCAGGCCATGCTGGAAAGTTGGAGATTTATGGCCGTGTTAACCCACGTAGTGCCCGACGAATGCGAGATGCCGTCTTACCCCGCGGGCCAATCCTTGGATGCTGCATAGCAGGTGAGTCAAAGCATAGTCTCAAACATGTACAGAAATAGTGTGAAGGTCCTATGGAACACACGCAACATTTCAAATAACGCCAGCCACTCCATGCGATGCTGCTGCTCTTGTCTTCTCATACAGATTTGGTTGCTTTCGATTTCAACTCCTATTGCCAGGCTGAACCCAAAACCTCAAAAGCACCAGCTGTACAGTTTGGGCTTACTCACCTGTTCTCCTTGTGGAGCAAATGCTCGGGCTGTTCTGTGAGGCAACGTTCCGAGATACTTATGTCATCCACGGAGACACCAGCATGACAAACACAAATGGTGATGTGCTGCTTGCTGTCATCTGTATTGCGGCCCTCCCCACTGTCTGCGAGTACATGTGGCTGCACATGTCTCACCATTGGCCCGGCCACCTTTTGTACCCTAATTACAGGGCTGAACAGGAATAAAGATTATAGCTTTACATTCCTTACTGGGCGGCAAATAACAAAGACGACTCGGGTAAAGAAATGCACCACAATGATCCAGATCAATAGCAAGCTCCGGGCAAGGGTTGCCAGAGGTACCTACCCGAAAAAGAAGGCCTCGCAGACAAGTATGCTCTGCAAATCGGAAGCCCTGAAATTCAGACTGGTAGGAGCAGGCACGGGCTGATAAATATTTTTGAGGTAGACGACATGTACCCTGGGACCTTTAGCGTCCTCCATCGACGAGACTTCCAAACTGAAAACTCGTCAAACCCTAGACTTAAACCCTTTTTCTTAAAACCAAGGTCCTACGCCCTAGACCCTACCCGGAACCACAAATGCCTACAGTTTAGTAGCGACTGTCCTTTATGAATAGGTATAACCCACCCGAAAATGTAGGTGAGGCCGACCCTATACCCTCCAATCCTAACCCTAGGGATCCAAGTATGCAAATAATACCTACATTGGGCCTAAAGTCTGTAGATATGAACTACATTGGGCTATTTGGATCCTGATACACCCCTATAAACTCCTAGTGTCCATATCATTTTCCATTTGCTGCTTTCCCATATGATTCTCCATTATCATTGGGCTATTTGGATCCCTACCCTAAACCCTAAACCCTAAACCCCTACCCTAGAGCCTCTGAGGCAAGGTCGACACCGCTTTGCTCACGAAGCCCTCGTGGAAGCGGAGCACCGAAGGAGCCCAGTTTCCAGCCAAGGTCTTGGAACATTCTTTGCTTATGGTCTTTAGGGTCTATATTGGGGTTATATAGGGGTTATATAGAGATAATGGAAAAATGGAAACTACTATTTAGGGTTTAGGGTTTGGGAATTCCGGTTTGGGCTTAAGGGCTTTACATAACCCTAAAGTCCCAGAGCTTCCACATATACAAATATTACGGAGTTTGGAGTAAGAATTCCTTCTACGGTGTGCTTTTTTTGGGGGCCTAAATACATAATGGTGACATGTCGGGACCCTCTGGATAGGGTAAGCGTTTGAAGAATGGTTCTCGACGCTTTGAGATTTCGCTAGGTTAAGGCTTCTTTTGTATATAGCTTTAGGATTCCAAGGTTTCAGTGACGCGTTTTGCCTTTAAGGTTAAATGATCTAGGCTGTGGGCGTGTAAGGAATGGAGAGGACCTGAAGACAAAAAACACTCCTAAGCCTGAACCAGGTTTGCCTAGGGGGATGGCGACCTAAATCCTAAACCTTAAACCCTATGCCTTCTTTCAGGGTTTAGGGTTTGGGGGTCCAAAGGTTGGTATAGTCAAAAGTACCCAACTGGCGTATGCCTAGGCATCAAGTCTGGCGACTGGAACACTTTGGGTTTGTACTGTAAGCAATACTGCAAAAAAGGCCTCATGGGTAATTGAAAATGGGCGTGGATGTCCCATGAATTAAGTGATATGTTAAAGCCCGCTTAAAACTACTCCTGAACAGTGGCCTCTAAAACAAAAACCCCAAAAACTTAGCCCACATTACCCTAGGGAGAAAGAAGGATCCTTTTTACAGAATATATATGGAACCCCACACCCCAAAAGGTATGAAGGATCCCTAACATTGCTCCAGAAAATATGGTACAACAACGGCGTGCACTGAGCTGCCAGGCCGGGCGATTTGGAGGCGGCTGCAAGCTCCTGACGCGGCGTAACGATGCAATGTACAGAACCCTTAAGGGTCCAAGTATTCCAAGGTTTAGGGTTTAGGGTTTAGGATTCAGGGTTTAGGGTCTGGGATTTTAGGGTTTAGGGTTTAGGATTTAGGATTTAGGGTTTAGGGTTTAGGGTATGGGGGTTTAGGATTTAGGATTTAGGGTTTGGGGTTTAGGAGTGTGCTCTTAAAGGGGCTATTATAGGGGTTTGTAATGATATACGGGAATATGTAGGGTGTAGCCAACTATTGGGGGGTTCTGGGCCCGAACACTACTGTCTGAATGGTTCTTCGCACCTGCAACTCTATTACCTGGGTACTTGGACCCTTACTATAATCGAATATGAAGCTATTTCTTCGACCCTCCAAACACCCTGAAACTCGCGTTATAGGGCCCTTATGGGCATTTAGGCCATCATAGACTACAGTACTTGGGGGATCGTCTTAGGAAGATGTTCTAAAGCGACAACAGCATGCTGCACGGAAAGCACACGTCCATTTGGTACGGGCGTTTCACAAAAACCAAGTTGGAGACATCTCATCTTGGTAACAAGAAACGTTCAGGTTGTAGCCGGGCGTGAACCAATAGGACCCAACAAAAACATAGCTAACAAATAGAATAGCTAGCTCAACCCCAAAAAGTAGCATGCTCAGGTCCCCTTTTCTCCTGAAGGCTCCTTTCCTATTACAACTCTTAACCCTGGTATTCAAGTCGAAAAATATTGCCTGCTTTGGGTCTTATTGATATTATCTACTTCGGGCTATAATAAGGTAAGGAAGATGTCAATACCTCAGGGTGCAAATGGCAGTTTCCCTAAATAGGAAGACCCAAATATAGACCCAAACATGCTATAACCCATATTCTACAGATCCACCCCAAAAATACCCTGAACCCTAGACCCAAAAAGGTACCCCTAATTTTGGGAGATCCCTCCAAATAGCGGCTAGGATGATCTTCCAGCAAGTCCTTACTTAAGCATGACTCTGCATGGTAGGCTCAGATAAAATAACGTGGTTAAGCTGTAGAGGGTTTATGCCCCTACTAGGCTGGGACTTCCCCTTTTGTAGGGTATAGGGTATAAGGGTTAGGGTTCAGGGTATAGAGTTTGCGGTTTAGGGGTTTAGGGATTGGGGTTTAGGGTTTAGGACTGAGGGTTTAGGGTTTACGGTTTAGGGTGTGGGGTAGTTAGGCATTGGGGTTTAGGGTTTAGGGCTTAGGGGGTTGGGGTTGATTAGCGTGTAGGGTTCAGGGGTGGGGTTTAGGCTGTAGAATCCTGCTGTAGGACTAGAGCATTCCGCGATAAAGGTCAGTGGTTGTCAAAAACGGCACATCTAATCTCCAGCTCAGATGGAAAGGTTGATAGACAAAGTCCAGCATGACCACATCTAGTAGAAATACAATCGTGGGAATTAACGGGTTCCTGCTGAGGAACTTAATTAAATTAGGTCCCTATAGTAAGGCAACCCTGATTATTTACTATATACCCAGATTATTCTACCTTCAACTAAGGTCCTGAACCGCAACCCAGTCAGTTGTCCTAAGCTTCATAAAGTTGCTCCTCATCACCAAGGGAACCTAAACCCCAAAGCATGTGGCTCTGTGTCGTACACTTAGGGCTTCGCACCTCCGGATGCCAAAGATGTTTTGAGTTCTCCTTTTCCGCAGGCCCCTGGATAAAGAGACTGCATGTGTAACACAACCAGGACCATGGATTGATCCCTGAAGCTCTGAGCCCTACATGTCTTAAGAAATGTATATCCAGCCTCAAAATCCACCGAAATCATATTATGTTATTGTCAGGAATCAGGAAAGAGTATATACGCTTCCTTTCTGGACAAATTGGTCCCAACATCTTTCGCCCCTAAACCCTACATCCTAAACCGAGAAGGCAGTGCAAGGGAGGACCTATGGGCTTTCTTGGGTTGAATTCATCCTTGCAAGTTCTCCCACGAACTCCTATTGAGCCCTTGTAAACAAGGATATTGTTAGGGCTTACCCTAAGAGCTGGAGCTCTTGTGACTCCCATGGGAAGGGGCCTCTTCAGAGTCGAAGAGGAAGCGGAAAAAAAGGAGGTCACCGAGGTGCCTCAGCTAAGGCTTTGGGAGTCCCGATTTCGGAGTTAGGGGTTATAAGTTATATGGCTTGATGGGAGAAACCTTGAACCACATAAGCACGAGTTCTGTAGTACTAGACACAAAGGATCTTCAGGTGGTGAAGGTTTTCCTTCACGAGCAAGCAGGCGGTTGCTAGATTTTACGGAGTTGACTCTAGTTGCAGAAGCTTCATGCCAGACTGCACACATGGTATACCGGTATGCAAAGGTGGCTCCTTTTCGGTCCTCACAAGCCTTGACCCCAAACCCATCTAAAGCCCTCAACCCCAGGTCTAAGCAAGCCCCTAGACATCCTTGAAATCGTGCAGCTCGTGCATGGGTTCCTTTACCGGCTCAGGCAGTCGAAGAGCTCGAACCCTATGATCCACCTGTGAAAATTTCACCCCTATAAGCTAACACCTATATCTTCGCCCCATCCCCCCCACCCCATACGGTGGATACTAAAAATCCTGCATGACCCAGAGCACGTTATACATTTGAAACTCTGGTATTACAACATACAAAAGTCATGCAATATTTTAGCATCAACGGTGTCACCCATGTATTGTCTAATCCCTCTAAGCCCCATCACGCCCTGACCCCTAAACCCTAAACCTTAAAACCTAAATCTCTGAGGACCGAGCCGAGGCTAGTAGCTGGTTTTGGCCTTTTTTGGGGGGTTCTGAAGAGGGTTTAGGGTGAAGTGTTCTGAGAAGGGGAGATCCCTTCCTGTGAAGCGGCTGTAGGGGACATGTACTGTTCTTTGAAGCAGCTGTTGGGCACTCATAGGATTTCGAGTGCAGACTTTAAGGCTTGAGGTTCGAGTTTGCAAGGCTCAATTGGAGCCTTGGCGCTCTGGAAGGATTCAAGCCCTTTTCCCAGGGCCCTACGGGATGTTGGGATCTTAAGCTTTATATGGAGGCTGCAGATGGTTTAAGGGAATTCTAAGTTGTTGCGTGATGTCAGAGGCCCTAGGCCCTAAACCCGAAGCCGTTATGTCTTTCAGGTTTTCTGCTTTGGCGTCCATTTTGGGCCGAAGGGTTGAGGATGTGAGACGTTGCCAGGGTCTTGACATGCTTGGCATGAAGGATTTGCAGCTGTACTGTGTGGGGGATGGTTTACCTTATGGGGGATGACGTAAGCTTTATAAGCCTACATATATATCCCGCAATAACCCTACATATC